AAATGGGTGTGGAAATGCACTATTCGATATATGCTATTTTACGTATATGCGAGTTTACGTAGCATACCGACATGCCCTCAGCGATCTCCACAAATGCGCAAGGCGTCTCTCCCCATTTCTCATGTGGTTTCGCCACAACAGCAGCTGCAAGAATACGTAAAAAATAAGAAAGTACGTTTATAGCGATAACGTGCAATATAGATTCTGTTTACGTAACACAAGCACAGATAGATAGATATGCATGCACATGAATACTAAACTACGTAACACACATACACGAGTAAGCTCGTCTTGCATATATACATACATATGCCACGTAAACCATATAATCAACCCTATACATATACTTATACACCATATATAACCAAACCCTATACACATATACCATATAATCAACCCTATACATATGCTTATATATTCCATATATAACCAAACCCTATACACATACTTATATACCATATGTAACCAAACCCTATACACATACCTATATACCATTTATTACAAAACTCTATACACATCCCTATATATCATATAACCAAACCTTCTACACATATACATACACAATACATCTTGCACTTTGCATACCCTCGCCTACAGCCGGGTGGTTGTAGATGGCACGCTCCACTTCTACGGAGGAAATGTTCTCACCCCCACTTATGATCAGGTCTTTGGACCGGTCCTTCAGTTCAATGTAGCGGTCCGGATATAGCACACCCAGATCCCCGGTCCAGAACCAGCCATTCTATAAATAGAATTCGGAGATATTGGATATGAGGACAGCAGTGACATTATTTAAAAGGGAGTTATGGACCACTCAGAACCAGCCGTTCTAGGAATAGATTTCGGAGATATCGGATATGAGGACAACAGTGTACAACCAAAATATCGTGATGAAGTGTGTATGTTGATCTTTTCTGAAAGGATTTTTGGACCTATTCCACGACTTTGGTTCAGAACCAACTGTTCTAAAAATAGAATAGCAACATTTCTAAAAATAGAAAATGCTAAGATAACAGCACAATCATGTATATTCAGGTTCAGTGCTAAAGCCTCTAAAAAGTAATCAACACGAAACTTTGTTCAGTGATTCGTCTATTGTACAGCCAGATTCTTACCTTGCACCCTTATCTCTCCCAATAAACACAACATAAAAGTACAAACAACTCAGATTATTAAAACATACCTACACCGATAATAACATAACACAAACCAACAACATCGAACCCATTTTGTATCTTGAAACTGTCCTGGGTTACGTTCTTATGCTTCAGATACTCTTTCATGACAATAACCTTTATATATATATATATATATATATATTTGGTGTGTATATATATATATATATACCAAACTACACGAATAAACCTGCATATACCAACTAACCTACACACAAACACATCCACCACTAACAAACACACATAACACATCACAAACACGAGTAACGTCCCATTCCATCATACTTTGAAGGTGTCCTGCGCAGCTTCCTTATTCTTCAGATATCCTTTCATAACAACAAACGTACGCATATACCTACCAATAACATACATATACCTATACATACTACTTATAATACCTTGAAGCTTTCCTGTGTGGCCTCCTGATTCTTCAGATATCCTTTCATGACAATGTTACCCCTCATGACTATCTCGCCCATGGTCTGACCGTCGTTTGCCACCACCTCACCTGTGGTTGCATTGAGCACAGACAACCCTTCTTGCACGGGATATGCCACACCCTGTCTTACCTGCATACGTTATAGTACGACAAATAAGCATGTATTAGAATAACGTTCGGTAGGATACCATACGATTTGCATGTAGGAAAGCATATGACGAATTAAGTTTAATCTATACATATATATATTTGTATACATCACACAACTCATAGTTCCGAGCTTAATACCTTAAGCCTGTCGTGAGTACCATCTCCCTCCCAATTGTCTTGCCAGACATTGCACACAGCAGGGCCGTATGTCTCTGTGAGGCCATACGAATGCACTAACTTGAAACCCAACGTTTCAATTGCACGGATGACACTTGGGGGGGGCGGGAGCACCAGCGGTCATTATATTGACAGTCCTGTCCATTACTGTGTTTTGTGCATGATAAGTGAGTACATTTGAGGAATATATATATATATATATGTGTGTGTGTATGTGTGTGTGTGTGTGTGTGTGTGTGTGTGTGTG